ACACACACACACACAGCCTCTCGTCAGTGTGCGTTTTCTGCATTGCATAGCTGCAAAAAACGCATAAAAACAGAAGGAACATGAGTGCGCCGGCTTTCCTTTACTTCGAAATATTTTCAAAACGTATCTTTGAAATGTTTTCAGTGTAAAACACTTTTTCGTTTTCGTATGTTCATTTTTCCCCTCATCGCAAGCGACGCCGTAATTTATAATGTTCGGTATTTTAGAGATGCAAAATAGAAGGTTCTAAGGGGTCTGTGCTCTTGAGGAACTTATCTTTGGCCTTCTGTTTGCTATCTCTGCGATATTTGTGAGCCATGGCACTTCTTTCTCTTCATCAGATTACCTTTCACTGATATGTGTCTCTGTCATCTTTTTTTTTTTTTTTTGACTGTATAGTTTCGTAATTCCAATAGTGCTTTTATTATAGGCATGCCTAAACGAAGAGGTGAATAATTATAAAAGAACAAAGGAAATACCGTTTACTTCGGAATCAAAATGGATGGCTGTAGAGTGCGAAAATGTTAAGGTTGGTTCGATTGACATCAGCAAAATTGCACAGGCATTGAGTAGGGAATTTTCTTTGCGGCACACATTTGTTTTCCTTCAGTAATCATGTGTTAGCTGTGTACACATCGTTTCTTCATGTGTCTTACAAATAGTTCCTTTCTGTCTTACTGGTACTGCTCATCACTTGGCGGAAACTGGCAGTTAGTAATTAGCCAGTGCAACTCATCCGAAGACATTCGAAGCCCGGATATAGCTCAGGGGGCACGGGTTAAAGCAAGATAGATATCCAGATGCCATTCTGCAGGGAGGGTTTGGGGACAGAATAAAGAAGGCAAACAGGCTTATTTGTGAAGGTGATGCTTAGATTAAGCAGAGAGCTCTCAGCTTTACCCAGGCATCAGCTATTCGATCTTTCAACTTTGCCTAGACATCAGCTTCATAATGGGGAAATCCTTTGCTGATAACTGTTTTCGTTTGCTGGAAGCTTGCCTCCAGTAGTGGGCTTCCTCATTTATGAATCTGATGCTTAGGTAAAGCTGAGAGCTCTTAGCTTTACCTAAGAATTCATCGTTTGCTCTTCCTGAATATTCTTGTTTGCGATAGTGAAGGAAAATTAGGCGTGAAGAGGGACAGAGCCAGTCATTATAGTGAATAATTTTTTTTTATTGAGAATGTTGCAGAATTTCAACTTTCATTTCCCTGCTATCGTACATGAATGATATTTCAGAATGCTGGACGACGTGAACTGTTTGTTAAGGGTGCTCTGGACCGCGTTCTCGAAATGTGTGTTGGTTATTTGCGAGATGGCTTAAATCCTGTAGCGCTTGATGAAGCTGCAAAAGATCGGTTCATTGAAACGAGCCGGAAACTAGGTTTAAGGGGCTTAAGAGGTACTTTTATTACAATACTTTCATTTAGCTTTGAAATTTTTCTCTTTTGCGATAATTGTTAGAAATCATCGTACTTTCGTGTTATTCTTACACTGCACGTATATTTTTTATGAAACTGATTTAGCAATAATAAAAAGTTAGCAGTGTTTGCATACGACAGTAATGAATTTTTCTTTATTCTTTTACGTTACTATGATAAGGGAAATTAGCGACATAGCTTACTTGACTTCTCGGATTTTGTAGTTCTTGATTGGAAATGACCCCTTTTGGTCCTGTTGTCGTAGTTTTGTTTAAGTGCGGCATATGTGGGCTCCTTGGATTCGTTCTTGCGAAAGAAGTCAAACGGAGCGAAATTTAATCAAAATATGACAAAATTAAACAACTGAGCACTTCATTCGACGCGTGATTGCATAAGGCGAACGCATGGGATTTAGTTAAAAATGAGAGGCGTGAAATTTAGTTAAAAGGCATTAAAATTAGTTGGACGGCTGTTCAAAAAAAAGAAATAGAATTTCAGAAGAGGTGACAGAGATTAGGTTACATTTTTAGCATAGGAGATACCAGAATTGGGCGTTCTTTTTCCGAGAGCTCGCGTACGCCGTTGATTTAGCTGACGTGGTAATTTTGCAGTAATAGCATTGGCGTGCGGACATGATGAGCGCGAACTGTATTACGCTGGGATGGTGGCAATCGTAGATCCGCCAAGGCCCGGCGTCGCCGAAAGTGTTGAAATTGTTCAGTCAGCTGGAGTGAAAGTAAAAATGGTAACAGGTGATGCGCTCGAAACGGCGTGCAGTATTGGTAATTCATTTGCTTTTTTTGTGTTTAGGAGTTTTCTCTTTTTTTTTTTTTTTTTTTTTTGATGGTAGTGAAATTGTTTAATTCAGCAGATGTTCCTTTATCAAAAAGGCAAGAAAAGAAATCTCATAACTTGCTGTTGTGGATATACCACGTATATTGAGGCTGCCCCGAACAATTAGTAATGTTACTGGAATACGCTCAGTTGTCGAGCAAAGCGCTCTCGCACTGTTTGATCTTGAATTGCTTACATCTGGTTACTAGTCCACCACCTGTCAGATGTACATGCGCCAACAGCTATCCGAATGGCCATTTGCTGCTTGCGAGTACAGCTCATTAGTGGATTTTTGCTGGCGCTCAGCGGTGCTCTCTTTCTTGTGTTTTCGAGATCGTGCCGTTTAACTCGCTCCTCTAATATGTCCTGTGTTGAATATGAAAGATAACAGATTATTACAGAAAGGCCCTAGCTGTTTGTATTGTGTTGTGCGTGGCAGTTGATAAGGCCATAAGAAAGCGGCAGCAAACATTTCTTAAACCAGAGA